TGTTTAACGTTTTGTTTTCTGCCTTCTATAATTTTCATGGCAGGTTACTATGCCGATTTGCACTCCCCAGATCAACCCCGCTGACGGGTGATTGCTGTGGCAAAAAGATCGATAGAAATAGCTGAGAGACGTGCGAAACAAAGGACCCGCATGGTGTGGTGGTGAACGCGTTACTCCCCGGAAAGGATAATAGCGCGTTCGTTCCCCACCATAGACACCTGCGGTCCAGAGTTTTGCAAATATCTCAGCAACGTTGTGGTTGTATTTCGCTTAGTAACCTGCCATGAAAATTATAGAAGGCAGAAAACAAAACGTTAAACATAAAGGATAGAGCTCACAACGTTGATCAATCCCTGAGGGATGCGCCATGCATTCGACTTTATTAAGCCTCTTTTGGATGTGATTGAATGCATATCTGGCCTTTACAATGACTAACGGTGGCCTACCGATGTATCGAGCCAGTGTTGCTATCCTCGCAATCAAGTCTGGTACCAATTTTTCGACCCTGGAGGGATGGAAGGCTTGGTGGGCAATGGATGCGGAAATCGATTCCACGTGTGTGTGGCACGACGCCTCCGACCACTGCTTCACCCGCGCTCTATCCACAGCATACGTGGAATTAAAAAGTAGTAGAAAACGTACTAACAAATTATGATGAAATTATGTAGCACATTTGTTTAAGAGTTACCAATACGGCTCCGTGGTTGGATCCGTGTAAAGTGAAACCAGTGGCTAGATGTTAGTCGAAAACAGTTAGCTGTATTTGACGACAGTTAGATAACTAAATGGATAGTTTAGAAATGCAAATCAAATTCGGTTGAATCTTAGAAGGTTTCGTTCGTTTTAAATAAAAAAATGAAGAAAAAAAGAAACCACTTCGCAATTTCAAGCACCTTTAGATCCACATGCAACACATACACACGTGGTCATTGTTTCAATCCCACTCTAGGTTCACCGAACCAGGAACAGCGAGCCATTCATTCCTTTGGGGCCTGCCAATTAGTACCAGAGTTGTCAAGAATGATGGAAGCACCAGCTTGAAACACCAGTTAGACCACTGAAAGCTTTTTCATGGACCAGATTTGAACTGAATTAGCTCAGCAATGGCAATGAATTAGATTGAATGCATGGCGGATCACTAAAAGATTGATCGTTGCCGGAAGCAGTTTTCTTTATATAGGTTCCCCATCTGCTCTATTTCTTTTACATCCAACTTTGCATCATGCGCTTTAATTGCATCGAAGGTGGAAAGGGAAAGCAGAAGAAGAAGAAATGGGTTTAGTGCGTCATAAACTTACACTTTCGAAAAATTAGGATGTGCTTCAAAATAACCAGATACTGGAAGTTTCCCCATAAATGAAATGATAAAACGGCAACACATTTGTAACTGAAAATTGGTAGGTGGTGAGCAGGTATATCGACTTCGCTAATTTGCCTTATAAAGCAAATAAAGAAATTAGATATAGCAAGAAGAAACCGAGTGAAACTGAAAAAAAATTACGCTATTGTCAGCCAGGTAAATGACGCGGCTAACTGGACCCAGTAGGAAGAGATATGGCGCGAACTGCAGTTCCAGAAAATCCACAAAATTCCTTATTTTCACCAAAAGGAATTCGATCAGTATCACATAGCGAATCCAATAACTAAAAACTTAGAAACATCCACTTAGAATTTTTGCAAAAGTCGTCAGCATGTAAGACAACCAGCAAGGATTGGAGACCATTGTATAATTAATATTTTCATAGGATTTTTGCAGTGATACCAGCGCGTGTGGAGCAGTGGTTGGAGGCGCCACTGCGACACCCACGTAGAATCGAACCCCGCGCCCATGGCCCACCAAGCCTTCCATCCCTCCGGAGTCAGTAAATTGGTACCAGACTTGTCTGGAAGGATAGCGGCACTGGCTCGATACATCGGTAGGCCACCGTGAGTCATTATGAAGGCCAGATATGCATGCAGTCACCTCCAACGATACCCTACTATTCTTTTACCAGCAAGCAAAACCTTGGATGCGTTTACGTACTCCAACCTACGTAGCTTAGGTCCATTCAAAAAATGAATTCCGATTAAGCAAGAATAGGTTGAGTAATTGCAACGAAATAAAAAAATATGGACAATTCATTAATCTTTCTGGTTGTGCGACTGCAGAACAGCTCCTAGCCGCACACCGCATCTGCAAAATTTCTCCTTGAGATATCCAAAAATCTAAGACTCTCAGAACCCAGTTCCGCTGGGCATGACGGTGACGGAAACTACAATTCTGTTTTTCATTAAACGTTGCGCGTTTTTCTCTTCCACTCCTGAGAGTATAGGATCGTCCAGGAGTGATGATTCCTGACATTCTTGAACAGAAATTGCCGTCTCCTCACTTTATATTATTTTATACTTTATATTTATATCCAGCTGCTACACTTTATATTGACTTCTTCCATATGTTCACCCCGTTTTCAAGCAAAATTCACTAACGTACGTTTCGGATAGCAAGCGATAATTCGCACTTGGGGCTGGAAGCTGTACACTCAGATGTTGCTCAACGAACATGCACACTGCCGACACTTTACCGTATTTTTTGAGCTAGATTGCTTATTGTGCGGTTTAAAAACGTGAATATTGCTCGGCGCTGAAAAGAAGCATATGATAAAGTCGTTTTAAAATCATCTGCCGCAAGGTGCCCCTCTCTCCAGAAAAGAAAACTGTGAATAAAAAAGGTTTCTTAAGCTTTCAGAGAAGTCCATTTTGGAAACTCTCACACTAGATTCGAATATATATAACCCTATCCCGCCGCTTTTTCGACAACATATCCTTTCAACGATGATTGTACGTCCAATGGGTGAATACCTTAGCGATTTTTTTAGCCCCATCATAGGAAGCAGTATGCTGAATCTTAAGGAGAACTCTTGTGTGGATCTCATGGATAACATACTGACTACATTCAACCAATTACTTCCGGTTTGACCTCGTAAAGGCTTTTCGCCTGTAACCTGCAAAAAACTTTTGGGCTTTATTTAACAGCAAAGCTTCGTTACTCGAAATCACATTTGAAGGACAAACATTTTTCGCATACTGAAACACTATACGACTAAACATTAGCTGGATCATATATAGGGCACATAGTAACGTCGCGCACAGATGACTTAGCTCCTACGCATCGACATATTCCTCGCTTACAATCTCTACCGTACTCTCTGCGCATATTTCACTCAAAGGCACGAAAAAAAAATCCTTGTAAAAGTTATCGTTTCCACAATGTAAAGAGCTAACGATATTGTTCTCTTGGAAGGGATCGCCATGATGGAGTTCATTGCCCATTTCACATAAACTCGGATCGCAAACTGCGTTGTTGTCCTCAGGAACTGCAGCATCAGCTGACTCGTCATCAGAAGTCTCTGACATGGAACCCATGTATGGCTCATCTGTAATCATCATACTCATCTGTGAGCATGATTGCATCAAATAATGACACAAAATGTGGCGTAGATAGGTTGGAGAAAGAAAACTCGAGTATGAGTAGTTGTAACCATGACTATTCTTTGTTAAATGGACTGAAACAAATGAAGTTTCCAACAAATAACTTACAAGGCAGACTAATCATGTAAAATATTTGTTGCTACATTAGTATGGCAGCTAAAAGAACAGTTGAAGCTCCACTACCTGGATAAAATCTGGCTACATCGGCGACAACGCTGCCTTTCATCAAGTCCGACATGTCAAATTTTTCACCAAAATCGCCATCAACCTGATATATAAAAACACGATGATAAATAGTAAAGCGACAAGCTCGAACTAAAAGATTTGTTATATTCGACAAATAGTTCTCCGCTGACAGACTTCTTTTTTCTCACACATCTACCTCCGCCAAATGTATTAATGCGTGCTCAATGGTGTTTGTTAAGAAGTCGAGTGATTGCGAAAGTGTAAAAATGGTGGCTATTGGTTTTGAGTTACGCCTGATCTTTGAAGAGCTTTGGTTGACAGATGGTTTTGAGAAATGGTAGAACTTCTCAGATGAATTCAAGTGACGTTAGTCGATAACCTTCTGTTACTGTTCAAAGTTCAGCGTTAAAGGTTTGCTTCGAGTCTTGTCAACAGCAAAACACGGTATTCTCGTGGAAATTTCGCCATTGTTCACACGGCGGCAGATTTCTTCGTGCATATAGCCAACTTTTGCAGATAAGATTGACATAGTGGACACAGATGTCGCCTTCAATAAGTTTTCGTAAGAAAGTGAGTGGTCCTTTGCACAGGCGTTGAAGCAGTGAATGAGAGCCCAGTTTGTGTAAGTGGTCAGTGGAACGGTTCCTAAGTTCGTGTTGGTTGGAGATCTGATCGTTTTCCACTATAGGTGATAATTTCTCGATAACTACGGGACTTCGAGTTGAGAAGAGAAATTTATACAAAAAAAGGTCTGTCGTGCTAGTTGTACATTTGGTATGTGTATTACTGTTAACTATTTGTTACCGTGGTCCACAATGGAACTTTCAGCGTTTGGAAGTGTCTCGTGCGTTTTTTTCAGTCCATTTCTATATTGTCCATACCTGCCCATGCCATACAATAATCAGGATTCATCAAAGTGTTTACTCCTCCGGAAAGGGTAAAAGCGCGTTCGATCCCCAACGCAGACACCTGCTCCCGAAGTTTTGCAAATGTCTCAGCATCGTTGTGGATATAATCATGAGAGCGATCGAAATTGAAATAACATTCAATAACCAGTCACATTGTTGGGCAATGAACAAGTTCGAAAAATGGCTTTTGTATATTCCAAAATCAGAGATATAAACCTCCCAGGTCAACATCATCTTCACTCAAGATCTTCTGGTAGCAAAGGTTGCTCCAAAAAAACCTCTATGCGGCAAAATAGGTCGGCCTGCCAACTAGCCTGGTAACGCGTGAGTTAAATATGAGTCATCTCGTCGACAATGTAGATCTTTTTAAGCACGTTACTTTGCCAGTAGATTAACTTGATGGAAGGATATTTTATAAACACACTTTTCATGTTTTCTATGCCATTTCTTATCGGCCATAAATGAAAACATAGCTATTGTTTCAGCACTATCTTCATGGAAATTTGTATTAATACCAATAATACAAATACTAATGATATCACTATACTTTACCGTTCCACATTTCTATGCTGACAGCTGACTAGTTCAAAGAAGAAATCGAGTAGAGATCCACAAACTTTACTTCTTAAGAAAGTGTTGGGTTACATACGAAAAGGCAACATCACAGTACGTTTTCTTCGAACTGTGAAGCTTCCTATGTCCGGTACTTCTCAGTGGTTTATAGCATCATTGTAGCTGGGAAGTGTTCTAGGGTTTTGGAATGAGATGTGCACTCAGAGGCTCATCGTCCAGCAGGATCTTTCAAGTTGAGAAGACGTCCAACATTCCCTTCGGAATCTTAGCTAAGTGCAAATGCGGCAAATAACTCTCTGATCCATCTTGTACAGCCGATTAGAGCAAACTGAAGGCCTTCAGAAAGCAGTCTGAGAAGATAATTAGCAACGAACAGTCTTTTTCTAAATGCGTTATTGACTTCAATTCCAGACTGGAAACGGCCAACAAGATCGAATACAGGATGGGAGGTTCGGAATAGGAGAACGAAATGAGAATAGAAAGCGCCTTTCAGAGCTGCTTTCGGCAGTACGCTCTTTTCATAAGGCCTTGAGAAAATTCCCTATGCGCATGGAAATTTTCTAAGGACATGACTCATTCGGAGATCGACCACATTTTCACGAGCAGAAGATGGTGCCTCTTGGACACCTAAGTGATACCGGGATCCTGTACGACTGCTGCCTGTTCCGTGCGACGATTCGGTTCAGCCGTAAGCTTTAAAACAACCTTTGTCATCGTCCAACAAAAACAGGACAAGTGGTGTGCGACTAAAATATTCTCAATAAGGTCTCTTTTTCATATAATATCAAGATGAAAAGAAGATCTGACAGAGGATTATAAGCAGCCCATCTGGTGACTAAAAACATATATCGGTCTCAGTTGAACCAATCCTTTATTTTTCATAAACTCTGTTTTGTACCCCGAAATCCTTCCTGGAGAAAATCGGCAGGGATTCTACCACTGAGAATCGAGTTGCTTTAGTAGGAAAGAAGAAAGCTGATTACAGGGAGAAGTGGCTGCGAGACTGCAACGGATAATGAAGTCAGTTGAATGATACGAAAACGCCACATTTATTGGTGGAAAGTTTGTGTCATATCTTCGTTTCGCCAGCGACACCGTCGTTTTTTTCAGAAATCACTAGTGATGCTAAATATCCTCTACCAAGCGGGTGGAAAAATCTTGGGCTGCGCATAAATACTACAATGACCCAAATCGTGAAGAGCCCATGCTGCTAAGGCGTACGAATAGAACCAGAAGATTCTCTGATTAAAGAGACCACCTCGTACTGCAAGTTAGACGTCTAGTGAACGCAGTAAACAACACGAGTGAAGAATTAGATAGAAGAAGGAAAGCAGCATGAGTCGAATTTGAGTCTCTTTAATAAACCACCGACCATTTAGCGGACCGAAAGCTGGGCTAATTTTTTGATTCAATAGTCCTACTTAGCTCTCTGTTATGCGGCAGAAACGCGAGATGATGCTTCAACCACGTAAACAAGTCCGCAAATCGTCCACAGAGCGCTTGGATGATCTCTTCTGAAATCTAACCTGCACTCACTGCTTCTAGGTAGAATGTGCTCAGATCTCACAGATATGTGAGAACAATACTACTGGACTCCAAGAGAATGCAAACGCAGTCTTAGACGACCATCTAAACGAAGCGTAGATGTTTTTGTGACCAACGTGTCAACTACCAGCATTCGCAGATAGAAAAAAATTTAGAGGTACAGAATAGGCTTCGCGGACGTCTCCATATCCGGAGTAAATCACGGCTATGATCGACGATTACGCGAGAGAAGCGAATGGACATTGCGCTCGGGTGGTGCGATCAGTGAAAACGCGCCGCTCGCTCATCGCAGTAAGTATTTTTCAACAAATTAACTTTTCTTGGAAATTAGTGAAATGTGACTAAGTGATTCACCTCTAAGAAGATAAATTCGCTGAAGAAGTTGTCCTCTGATGGTGACCAATGTGGGCCGCTGGTAGTCCGCACGTTGATAACGCGCTCCAAGGCATGCATGAACGGCAGCATTTTCTTATAGTTTTTTAACGGATCGTATAGCAGTTCACAGAACCTAAAACACTTGTACATGATATCGCAATAAATGTAAACTGGAAGTAGATGGATAGTATGATTGTTAAAGCACATAGAAAAATTGACGGTCGGCTATGCAAATGCTGTAGTCTTGAAAACGGAAAAGCGATCAAATATGGAAACGTGTTGTAACTAATCGTATGGAAACGGTCTTTACTAACAACTACAAGCTTTCTAGAAGTTATTCCACTGGTGTTAAGTGGAAAGTCGAGAACGACGTGAAACATTTACCACATACCTTCGCCAGGTGAAAGGAAAGCTGTCAAACGCCATCACTTTCTCGACGATAAAGTGGTAGATTCTCGTAATCTCCCATTCCTCTCTCAAATCTTGCACTTTGCCAGAGAGCTTTTCAAAATCATCTTCTGTTCGCTCCACAAAATCCTTAATTGAACACTGAACGTTTAAAGCTCTATGCAAATAGAAATGTCAAAGATTACCTTGAAAAAAATAAGGAATTCCTTCGACACATCGTTCCATGGTAACGAGGGAGTTTTCTTCTTAACTACATCGCAAAGGTAGTTCATAAACGTCACCTCGCGAACATCCATTTCTTGAGGCTTGTTGGATCGATGCTTTTTTGGGAAATGAGACGTCTCTTCACAAACCTGCTGACTGACAAGTCTCCCTTAACTGATATCGGAATAACTAAACGCGTATTAACATGTTTGCAATAACAGCTGCGGTAACGTGTCTAAGCTGCGTTTAGCGTAGGTACAAATCGCGTTGGCGAGACAAACGAAGCTCACGATGAGCTTTTTAGCAGCAACAAGAAATCTGGCCAGCAAACAAACTGACCTTAATCAATGCAGATCCTGGGAACCATGCATAGAGTAGCAGAAGCCGATGATCGTAGAATTAGGCTTCACTTCTGACGATTTAAGACGGGTTTACGAAGGCAGCAATGTAACCAGACTCCAACCAAAAGCCTAAGGCGTAAACGTTGTTTTTTGTTTCCGCCTATTAAAAATGAAAAAGTAAATTTTGCATTTGTTTTAAGAAAAATTTTTAATATTGATTTTCAAAAGAATTATCCGAACGTCTTACGCCACCGAACTACTCTGTCACCATGAATTAACCCCTCCAGCGACTGAGCACATTTACTCAACAATTCTGTGCAAAACGGTACATGTAGTTAACTGCAAAGGTCAAAAATAATGCTAAAGGAGTGAAGCACCATTACTGTCAAAAAAATTGTCAAGCCACGCTTTGCTCCTTCAACTAGTAAGTAACCATCTTTGGATTTCTTTTCGAAAGTAAAAGACACGAGCAGCTCTTTTTTTCAACAAATATCCTAACCAAAGTACACACGTATTGAGCTCCACCAGCGAGCAGGCAGGATTCTGACGAGGATTTTAGCACCCAAATAATGTGCATGCCACATCGAGGCCATAAAGAGGGTTTCAGGAGATCATTTGTCGCTGTTATAACCTGTTTTGAGCACGGAAAAGCATTTAACTTATCGAAACGCAACAATTCTTTTAGCGTTCGTTGATGAGGGAATGGACGTGCGGTCTGCGAAAAGAATCCGTCTGCTGTGCAAGCAACTGTACCGTAAAATTACAGCTCTTACGTGGACACTTTACGGTCTCTTGTGGAAAAAGGTTTCAACAAGGACACACCATAATGTGAAAAAAATATTATTTTATCACTCCACATTGCTGGTGACCATCTCTCAATTGGGACAAATTGCGAATGGTATTTGATTTAAAACAAATCCAAATTGTTATGGTTTGTTATGAAAGTTTTGTTCTGTCAACATTTCTGCTCCTTCACCTACTTCAGGGCCACTACGATCAGAGTTGATGGACCGCAGTCGCTCGTCCTCACGGTGTATTACATTGCAGTCGTTATCAAGTCGAATCTTAAAATGTGGAGCACAGCTCGAACATAGTTAACGCCGTTTTTATTGCACTAGAACAACGTCCCTGTACTTGAGATATTTGTTGAAAGGGCTAAGATATGTGGAGGAAAAATTTTGAAAGTAAGAAAACCTTACAAAAGGAGTACACCAGTTTTGTGGCTCCCATCGCACAATTGCGCTCTCAGCTGCGGATGTTTGGTGGAGATTTTCGTATTGTGAAACGGTTCTCGTCACTGTGGTGAAGACTGATAACTGCCCTTGATCAAAGAGCAAAGTGAGTAGAAAGTTTGTTAGAACTCAGGACACCCAAAAATAGGCCGTCTGGATTTTTAGAAAGGAATGCTTATCTGTGTAGAATGTTGGGTTGCTTTCAAAACAGGTCCGTCTTGTAAACTCAGAAATTCATTACTCTGATTTTGTTCGTATTTTTGGGCAAACGCGAGGTGTTATTGTTCTTTGTTCACGATTAAGCTGACGTTTCGGCGAATTTC